TATATATCGTAATACTGGGATCATATCACTTCAAGAAACATGGTTACATGATCTATATGATGACAATCTAGTGTATCTAAATGATTTCAAATTATTCAGACAAGATCGGTATAGTTCCAGGAAGAAACGCGGTGACGGCGTCGCCATCTTCATCAATTCACAATGGTGTACGTCTAACAATGTATGTTTCAAATTCTCTAGTGACTATATTGACTGCTTTACCGTTAAGTGTCGACCTAAACATTTGTCAACGCTATTGTGGATAGACATATAATGTCATGTAAGAAACTAGCGAATACAATATTGTCAAACCCAGAGCATCCTCTCTATACGCAGCTGGCTCCTTGCATTTCATCTGGTAGAGCTAGAAGCAGCTATAGGAGGCTATATGCTAGGACTACCAAGTACAAAAACTCCACAATACCATATCTGGCACAGCTGTTATGTCATGAGAAATCCGTTAGGTATGACACGATCAACTTACTGCGGCACTCTAACAAATAGTCCCATTAGTTTTTGTTTTCCTTTCCTCGTTACTATTACACTGTTGTTCACATCTTCTGGTTACACACTAATTTTATATTTCATATCCTGTGGTGCATTGTTTAAAATGAAAACGCAACGCTGTTCTTTTATTTATCTTCTTTTGGGTGTTGCTTTTGATTTTAAAATCTTATATAATTTATGAGGTAATTAGATGCAATATACTGTAATGCACGCTGAAAATTCCATACCTGTACCACAAATATTGTTTGGAATAAAGCTGTTATTATTATTATTATTATTATACGTTCACAAGTTAACGCTCTCCATAAAATTCACACTGTCTTTATCATGAAGTGGAGTTTAGAAATCCATACACAGTGCTCCTATACGGCCAATAGGTTTTCAAGAGTGTGTGCTTTTTAATCCATACAGGGTAGATATTATGTTCTTATGACATCAATAAGATTATACTCATAGCTACTTGTTTGGTCGAAATCTAATCCTAAATATCTTCCAATTCTATCAGCAGAACGGTGTCTGATTTATTATTATCATTCCCTTGCGTTCTGAGTGGAACATTGAGCTGATTTCAACAACAAATCTCCACTTTCTTCTCTATTCCGCTGTCCTCTTCAGCTGGCTAGCCCCAAGATTCCCCATAATCTATTATCTCCTCCATGCCGACCTCGCACTGACACTGAACTCCTCACCGCTCGTTGGGTTAGGGTAAGGTAAGGTGAGCAATCTTGAGGTTAGGCGTCGAATTCTAGGTAAGCAGGGGAAATCAATCGACGAGGTTGTGAAGCTACATCGACTGAAATGGTTAGGACATGTGTTACACATGTATGCCTAGTCATCGCCTTCCTCGACTTGACGGGCAATGTTAGCTGATATAGGATCAGGCTGGAAAAGAGCTAGCGGAGGTCAGACCAAAACCTGCCACCAGTCAATGAAATCTACAACAGTTAGTCTAAGCCATGTAGGAAGGTGTAGACTTCCTGACTGGTTGGGGTCCTCAAGACGGTAAAAACCAATGGTTGGAAACAATTGGTGATATGGCTCAAAGTATGATAGAGAAGATTTGTAGCTCAGGTGGATAATTTTGATGTGGTTTTGTTCTCTGAGCTGGATAGTTAGTTTGCGAAGCTTTCATCACCTTACTGGGTGACATCTTCAGCGCATACTTCAATTTGACTTCAAATTGAAGTATGCGCTGAAGATGTCACCCAGTAAGGTGATGAAAGCTTCGCAAACTAACTATCCAGCTCAGAGAACAAAACCACATCAAAATGGCTCAAAGTGATTGTTCTCAGTGACTGATGTAGATGCATCCACTCTTTGTGACTTATGATTTCCAGTGAAACTGTTTTGTTCTTCGTTATTACTATTCCTTTGTCTCACACACCTCTGTTTACTGTCTCTATTATGCATTTCCTCTTCTACTTTCTTCTCTTGCTTTGTGTGCTACATGGAGGGAGTGTGGTGACTTGAACTGGTGCACATCGGTGGAAAGTTCTATGTCGAAAACAGACAGACAGACAGACAGAAAGCCCGTTGGGTTCCGCTTGAGCGACGACCTTCACTGAGCCAAATGGCATTTGATGGCCTCCTCAAAACATACCTGATCCACCTCTATTTCCACCTACATATTTATTGAGCGATCGGTTCTCACCTGTTGGTTTTTACCCAGCCAGCCAGAGTTTTGCTTTATTAATTCCTCCTAGCCAATCATTTGATCTTCAATATGAAAGCCAGTAGAGGCATCTATTGATGAAGATCTCCAGTAACCTTTTGGAAAAGCTTTTAATGACACGTGGGCGCCAACTCTCTGAACCATACAGAAGCACTCATATTCTCCAAATAAATAATGAAACTTCCTATCCTGTATCCTGTGCTAAGTTTTATTGATATCTGCACTGATTTTAGAGTGAGGAAGGCCTATCTTTCTTGCCTTCCCAATCCTAGCTGACTTTGACATTCACAACGGTTAGGACGCTCGCCGACCATGTACATAATCCGGAGTTCAATCCCCCGGCCGACGCACACCTGATATCAATGATCAGTCTGCTAAATTTGGGCTACTGATATCATCACATACTGAAAATTCTACAGCTGTACCAAAAATACTGTGTGGAATCAAGCTATAATATATATATAAGGCAAAATTTACTCACCTCTTTAATGTCACGATGTTTCTTTTCAACCGGCTTAGTATCAGAAGCCTGTTTATTCTTGAAATACGCTAATTCTCTTTGCAATTTATCCAATTCTTTAGCCTATAGATGAAGATTATAAAAATAACCTAAAGCCAAAACAAGAACAGCACAGTCTCCAACATAGATTGAGATGGCTAGGTCACATGCTGCGCATGCCTAACCATCGCCTCCCCCGACGACGGGCATTACTATCTGAGTATATAGGTGCAGGTTGGAAAAGAGCCAGTGGTGGCCAAACAAAAACATGGCCTCATCAATCCATGAAATCCTTGACAGTTAAACTGAGTCGGTCAGGTAGGGAGATGCAGACTCCCGGGTTGGGGCCCTCGAGACGACTCTAGGAATCAATGGCTGGAGACAATAGGTGATCACATGGCTCAAATTCGTTGTCAATGGCCAGCACAGATGTATTCAGTCTCTGTAATCTTTCATATTCCTTTCTACCATTACCCATTCTGTTTCACTCTTATACTTGTCAGACTGTATTGATTCTCTTCACTCATCTTCTTGTCTACCTCTGTGTGGTATTTGGAACGTGGCAACTCGAACAGCTGCACTTCGGTGCCAAGTTCTATGTTGAATTCAGACAGACAGACAGTCTCCAATAACAGCACTGTTGTTCTACTCAGCCAACAACACCAACAACAAAAGCTTGAATTCACCCGGATTGTTTGAAGTGTAATTATACTATATGGAAGCTCAAAGCTAGATAAGCACGGCCGAGGTTGAATCCATGACTTGCTTTGTGTGTTCTTCGTCAGGCAAATTCCTTCTAGAAAACCCTAGATTATTCATAAATAATCTTGTTTATGATTCTACCAACCACTACAATGTTTCATAATTTTCTGAGCTCATATTCTCAAAATCCATCAAATATTGGATAAACAAACAGTTACGCACATGTGTTCATCTGTGATTCTGGACATCATAGAACCTATGAGAATTGATTTTTCGTCTTCGTATTGACCAACTCCTTTCTACATTGCCTAGATGGCCTAACAGTGTCACATTGCTTGTCTAAGCGGTAATATAGCATACTTGATTGATGGGTTTTATTTAGTTTTTTTGGCTAGAGATCATTCACTGGTACAGGGTGCGGCCTGTGCTACTGAAAAGATTTATCAGTAGTATATAAAGGAACGTTCACCGACCAACACAAAGATATCAAATAGCAGAGAGACAGATTTGATGTCAAACAAAGGGAATAGACCAAGATTGCGACGAAGCATGGGAGACACGAAAAGAAGACAAACAAAAACCAATACGACGGGCATGTGTAGCACAACAACACGGAAGATCTGTGCAAATAACGATTTTCACATAAGGTGTACATAATTTCCCCATGTAGGGATTTTAAATTACAAATAAGCATTGCATTACCAAGTCTCTTGTTTTCTCCGGTCATACAAGTCTGACGCCTGGCTAACCGACGCACTCCGAAACCTCACCTAACCAGTAGTAAGACTGGACAAGGAGGAGGGTAAGGAGTGAAACTAGGAGTTCCACACTGTGAGGAAAAACAGCATCAACGCTACTGGCACTCAAAAGCTTACAGCTTGAAGTCCTACGTTTCATTCAGACCGCAAAGAAATGAGAAAGAAACCTACCTTGTTTACTCTGTTTAAACTTCTTATAGTAAGTGAAAGTTGCTCCGAGTTGGATCACAAACTGACAGCTGTTTCACCACGGTTCGAGACTCTTCACAAGCAGTCGTTATCAGTGTAGTTCACTAAATGTTAGGAAAACTACTCGCTTGGTAGTGGCGCTGTCTATCGAGAAGTGGCAAAAATTGAAATTTGGGGGACACGGGATTCCATTTTAGTTACCGAATGGTTAACAACCTCCCTTCGTCATCTGGATCCAATCCCTCATCAAGTACCACTGAAGAGACAAGGAACGAAACAGACGTAGCATTCTCTCTGGTCTACAGTAGTTCTCAACGTGATGTCACTCTGTGATCAAACGTTTCTTATCCCTTTACTTTCCGTGTGCAATATAGGGCTTTAAGCTAGAGCATCGTAGTTTAGGTAGGGTTAGATCTGCTAACCCCCGGTCAAATTACCCCCTTTATTGGCATTACTACCAGCCTGGCGGGGTTGAAGAGTGAGACGGTGGCCGGCGATTGAAGCTCAGACCACTGTGACGAGTGTTTTATCTCAGAACCACCGGCGCGCAATCCAACCTGAAACCAATAAAATAGCCCCAATACAACAATGTGGAAACTAATAGCTGAGACTATACATTACATAGTCACAGATGACTTTTCTATGTTTTTAAAACACAATGAATTCGACTTACTTGAGTCTGTAGCTTCTTAGTATCTTTATTAATCATTGCTTGGTTTTCAACATACCAGCGTAGTTTCTTTTGAAGTTCTTCAACTCGACTTTCGTATTGTTCTTTCATATTCTGATAATCTGCTTGAGATTTCTGCTTAAAACATTCATATTCTGTAGTGAGCCCAGACTTATCACGTTCAAGATTATTTACCTGTGTGTGTGTGTGGTGGGTATGTGTAGAACAAACACTAATGATTACGTAATGAAATTCCACTTAGTATATTACAAGTTCAGTTCTGTAGATTCCCTCATTGATAAAATGTAAAATATTTTAAACTCAGTTCAGTTAACCTGTTCGTGAGGAGCTAGGTACATGGGTTGCTCTATGCGGATCTTTTCAAAACATGTTAGAGAACATTAACCCCAGCATGGCTGCAAAGAGGACGCACTAGTTCAATCAGAAGCGCCATAATTGAACACCTCATCAACACACCCGGTCACAGCAACTCACCTGACTCATTCATCATTCAGAGTCACTTACAAAGTGAACAAAAATCTATCAAAGAAAATCAGTGTTTTTCCGACTGCTTTACACTACTGCAGAAGCGTTCGTTTTTCAAAAGCAATTAGTCCAATCTCTATGTTCACCATAGATCTAGTTCGTTTTGAGTTTTTAGTTTTCGTCTTTCTTTAATTTCACTTTTAGGAAAGTCAATTATTTCAATTTGTTGCCATGCTCAACCCATTCGTTAAAAAATTATTTTCTAATCCCCTGTAATTTTGTTTCTAAGCCCCTTGTAATCTACATCCCCACACCTTCAACTCTCATATCAAGTTGAAAATCATTATTATTATCACTTTTAACGCCACCTTCGTTATTCTGTGGAATTAAATAAGAATCGTAATTATGTCCATGTAAACTCATATATATATATATATATTTATATATATATATATATATATATATATATGATAGAGAAGATTTGTAGCTCAGATGGATAATTTTGATGTGGTTTTGTTCTCTGAGCTGGATGGTTAATTTGCGAAGCTTTCATCACCTTACTGGGTGACATCTTCAGCGCATACTTCAATTCGTTGAAGTGAGCTTTTAGATTTCTCCACGAGTTTATTAATCATTCCTCCTGGTGACCTTGGACGTGATTGGTTGTTTGTGTGTGTTTTCACACCTTTTTGGGTTACTTGTATTGGAACCGGTTGTTTCTTTGACTTGAACTTTGACCCTTTGTGTGTGAAGTTTCTTTATTATTGGTTGATAAATTTTGTCTATCTCGATGTGTCTATTGATTGATGATTCACTGGAATGCCAAGCTTCTAAAAATTCTCTAGCATTCTTGTTATTTCCTTTGTCTAATATTTGAACGTTGGTTGTTGCAGTCGAATTGATGTCCGTAGTTGTCTGTGTGTAGTGAAATGAGGGAGCGCACACAAACAACCAATCACGTCCAAGGTCACCAGGAGAGATGATTAATAAACTGGTGGAGAAATCTAAAAGCTCACTTCAAATTGAAGTATGCGCTGAAGATGTCACCCAGTAAGGTGATGAAAGCTTCGCAAACTAACTATCCAGCTCAGAGAACAAAACCACATGAAAAACTCATATATGTACATGCAACTGTACACCTGCTTTTGGGAATGAAATCACCGAAAAGATCTCTGTGTGTGCTGAAATTCGTTTTGTTTTCCCTTGAATTTCAACCCCCGCCCCTCCCTGTTGGTGATACAATTAGGATTATTAAACAAAATCCAATGCAACTAGTAGCATACTGATAACACAATGAAGTTAGTTAGCTGAATGCCTTGAGTACGATCCATGGTTGCGTCGGTATTCGGTACTGCCGAAGTATCACGAAATAAGACGAATCAGATAAACAGTACTTGAACTGGTGTCGGTTCATGACAAAGTCAGCATGACTCAAAAAATGACCTATGTGTCATCTAGTATCCTCAGGCACTGTTTCGTTCAATCTCTACATTTTATTATTATACAATGCAACGAAGTAGTAAACAGCACCTTGCCGATCTCATCCAACAGTTGTACGACAATGCTGCATGCCGCAAAGTAATCCCTAACGGGAACTTACGGAAGCCTTCGAAGTGAAGACGGGAGTAAAACAAGGCTGCCCACCATCTCCAATGATTTTCCTGATTGCAGTAGATTGGATAATGCGACAGACAGAGAGCGAGTAGCGAGGAAACAGACATAAAATGGACCCACACAGAAGGAGACTTGGAGGATCTGGACTTCGGTGGAGATATATGTCTGATTTCCCACAAACTGGAAGATGTGCAAGTGAAAAGCAACAAGTTGACAGAGGAAGAAGCATCAAAAATAGGACATCACTCCAGGTGAACATGGAGAAAACAGAGGTGATGAAGATTCCTGGCCAACACCAACAGCAACAACAACAAGAGACAACAATCAGCCAGCATAAATGGGAGGAACCTGAAAGAAATAACCTCCTTCACCTACCCACATAAGAAGCATCGTTTCATCTACAGGCAGGTGAAACTGACGGGGATATCAAAGCAACGAGGATCGGGAAAGCAAGACGAGCTTTCACTACTCTCAAGTTTGTGTTGTGGGAATCAACAGCACTCAGCATCAAAAATAAGATCCAGATTTTTAACTCCAATGGGAAGTCAGTCAGTGCTACTTAATATACGGATCAGAGACTTGGCGCGTTAAATAAATAGCATCTCAAACAAACTTCAGACCTTCAATAACAGTTATCTTCGCCCAATACTACTCAATATCAGATAGTTTAAAGAGATGGGCATCAGAAGAAAGAACCAACCTAGCAGGAACCGAATGTGCAACTAATAAGGAGGAAAAAATGCAGTTGGATCGGCCATACTCTGAGAAAACAGACCATCAAGTGACATCACTAGACAAGCCAGTGTTCGAGTGGAACCTCAGAATGGAGCGGCGAGTTGGTCATCAGGGCAAGGGTGACTTGGAGGAGGTCATGTGAAGAGGAGATGAAAGCATGTGGGCAGACCTGGAGTCAGGTGAAAACATTAGCAGAGAACCGAACGCAATGAAGAGGCGCGGCTGAAGCCCTTTGTTCCTCTAAGAATTAAAGGAGATAATAATAGATAAATAATAGTCTTATAATATCAGTAGACAAAAAAAAGTGACACTTAATTCCCACTTTTAAAAAAAAAGGAACATTATTTCGATGACAATGCCATGTGTCAAGTGATCCACGATGGAATTCTCAGTGAGGCGTTCGAAGTGAATACAGGAGTAGGACAAGGCCGTCAGCCTTTTATCAGAGATGATATTCTTCATCGTGGTGGACTGGACTATGCGTCAGACTTTTCGGAGTAAGGAGTCACGAATACGCTGGACCACCGATAAGAGGACTCCATCTAGAAGATCTAGATTTTGCATAACGATGTATTAAGAAGACAATTGCAGCGAAGAAAATTTTCTCTTCGACGAAGTCATCATCTAGGTAGGCTGTACATTCGTGTATTTATTCTGGGAAAGTTCCAGAATAATATCCGGTCAAGGGTCAAATTAATAAAATTAAAATTAGGAATTAGAATGCCATAATAAACAGGGGGACAAATGAAAATCAAAAAGTAGCATCGTAATTACTGAGAAGATTGACATTGATTGTGCTATTAGGGGTTAGAAATGTAGAAATAACAAAATAGACAGGAAGTTTGGATAAGCACTAATGTGATGAATAATTGTTTATGCAATCAGGGATTAAATATGTAGAAATAGTAAAATGACAAAGTAAACACGAAGTTCGGGTACGAAAATATGGTAGTGTAAACAGGGATTAACAAAAACTTAAAAAATAACATGAATAAACAGGAAGTTTAGATAAGAAAAGCGATGGGATGGTCATTACTAAAAAATTACCTGTTTATGATGGCCATGGCAGGGACAGGGGTTGGACGTCTTTCTTTTGGATACAAAGGGTGGGTTTGAGCTATTGTATAGCTAGTGCCTCGGTTGTGCCCAGATGCCTTGATTTCATTCCCTTTGATAGGTTTGATTGAATCTTGTATATTACTTTGAAGGATTTTTCGAAAGGCGCTGAATCTCCTGAATTGACCAGATGTTCTGTCACTGAACTGTATACACGCGTTTGGTCTCCTTTTACTAACCAGGCTGGGTAGTGTTCACGAGCGCATTTTTCAAGTCGGCGCATGGTACAGCCAACGTACTCAGCTCCACAAGAGCAAGTAAACTGGTATATGCACGTTGAGGTGGCCCAATGCGACAACTTGTCTTTAGCGTTCTGGCTGAACAGTTTCTTGCAGGAAAACGTCAGTCGTAGGCTCGCGGCAAGGTATGTTTTCCTTAGCGAAGGATTTCTGCTTCAATATCACCTTTGAATTCTAGATTAAGCAGAAGTATTTTCTTTGGAACGGATTGAACTTGTTCGGAAGTCTTCTTAGATTTGAGATTCTTGTCTATGAATCCGGGCGGGAAACCATTTTCCATCAGGGTTTTTCGAAGATTACGCAGTTCTTCTTCAACCACTCCCTTGCTGCATATCTTCCGAATCCTCTAGGAAAGAGTGTATATCAGGTTCCTCTTTCTACTCACGGGCACGAAGCTTTGAAAGTTGATGGATTGTCCATTCCATGTAGGCTTTTTGTATATGGATCTTTTCAGAGAGTTGTCGGCGTTTCTTATCAGATGGGCGTCGGGGAAGTGGAACATTCCGTCAGATTCAGTCTCAAATGTAAAGTCGATGTTTGGGTGGGCATTATTGAAGATTTGAAGAAGTTTTTCTATATCACAATTCTAATCACAAATAATGAAAGTATCATCGATATATCTCTTGTAGAGATGGAGGTCGTTCATAGTCGGTGATAAGGCATTGTTCTCTAAGCTTGCCATAAAGCAGTCGGCTAGGATGGGTCCTAAAGGAGAACCCATTGCTACTCCATCTACTTGCCTGTATATTTTCTTGTTGAAACTAAAGTATACGTTGAAGGTGCATCGAAGTAACAGTTCTTTCAGGTAATGGATCGGTATACCAACATCGATGCTATTGGATTGAATGTAGTCACAAAGGAAACATACAGAGAGAAACATCCACGGGAACCTTTTTCTTTTCTGCCACATTGATATTCTTAATTGAATCAACAAAGTCGAATGTGTCAGGGAGTTTATGTCTTGACAGCTTCTCAAGACATCTGGGCACAACCGAGGCACTAGCTATCCAAAAGCTCAAACCCACGTTTTGTATCCCAAAGAAATACGTCCAACCCCTGTCCCTGCCATGGCCATCATAAACAGGTAATTTTTTAGTAATGACCATCCCATCACCTTTCTTATCCAAACTTCCTGTTTATTCATGTTAAGTTTTTCTTAATCCCTGTTTACACTACCATATTTTCGTACCCGAACTTCGTGTTTATTTTGTCATTTTACTATTTCTACATATTTAATCCTGATTGCATAAACAATTATTCATCACATTAGTGCTTATCCAAACATCCTGTTTATTTTGTTATTTCTACATTTCTAACCGCCAATGCCACCGTCAGTGTCAATCTTCTCAGTAATTACGATGCTACTCTGTTTGAGTTTTACTCGTCCCCCTGTTTATTATGGCATTTCAGTTCCTAATTTTAATTTTATTAATTTGACCCTTGACCGGATATTATTCTGGAACTTTGCCACCCATTTGATATAAATACACGAATGTACAGCCTAGATGATGACTTCATCGAAAAGATTTTCTTCGCTCCAATTGTCTTCTTAATAACTTCTATGACCCAATAATGATGTATGTTTAATGTCACACAAACTCGAAGAATTGAAAGCGAAAACACGACTGCAAGTGAACATAGAGAAGACAAAGGTGATCAGGATAACCAATTAACAACAACAACAATAACAACAACCAGCACCAGTCGCCATCACCGGGAGAGATTTAACAGAGGTTGCCTCTTTCACTTATCTGGCTAGGAAGCATTGTCTCAACTACAGGTGGAACGGGTGATATCAAAGCCAGTCAGAATCGGAAAGACAAGATACGCCTTCATCAACCTGTGGGCAGTTTTGAAATCTTCTCACCTCAGCATAAGGAACAAGATTCTCATTTTTAACACCAATGTCAAGTCAGTCAGTCAGTCAGTGCTTCTACACAGCTCAGAAACTTGATGCTTATGTCACGAAAAGGATTCTCAACAGGCCACTGCAGACTTTAATCAACAGCTACCAGCTTAGCTGCCTGGCTTCATACACATAGATCTACTTAATCACCACAACCTACTCTTAGATTTCCGCCACCACCACCGCAAACTACGACTGATAAGTAATACCACTAAAATGTCTTTTAAAAGAATTACCCAATTGGGGTCAAAAGTTATCGCCGGTTAAGAAAACCACAGTTCATGCATTCTTCATTTCGGACAAAAGTAGTTACAAGGACTGTGATGATATCAGTCAGCATATGCAGAAAACAATCCTATAAGTCCCAAACCAGTTGTTCCGCTTGACATCCCACTGATAGAAATCCTCTCCATTATTTATAAAGATGACCAGCACCACAACGGTAACAAAAGCCTCTCACGAGACACAGTGAAGGAAGCATTCAGGATGGACCATGAGGTTCTCAAAGCACCTTTACATTAATCTTACAGAGTAAGCCTTTTTTCATACATGGCTTATTTTTCACTGCAGCCGGCAGGCTTTAGACCAGGAAGAGGGTGTATTGATCATATCTTCACCCTCCGACAGATTCTAGAACATAGGCATTCCTACCGGCGTCCAACAGTCATTATATTTCTTGACCTAAAGGCAGCATTCGACTCTGTCGATCGGGAAGTTCTCTGGAGATGCTTGGCTGTAAACGGAATTCCAAGAAAATATATTGCACTGATTAAGGCACTCTATTCGTACTCATACAGTCAGGTGAGGGCTTACGGCGAGCTGTCATCTGAACTGATGACGACCAGTGGTGTCCGTCAAGGATGCCCATTATCTCCTTTTCTATTCAACTTCATCATAGATGTGTTAATGGACTTAACCCTAGGTGACTTCAGCGATTCAGGGATTGACTTGCTACCGGGGAATAATCTCGTTGACTTGGAATATGCAGACGATATAGTCCTTCTAGGCGAAGACGCTGACAAAATGCAGAGTCTTCTAAACACCTTGAACAGCAATCTACGAATGTTTGGCATGCAATTCGCTCCCGCCAAATGCAAGATGATGTTACAGGACTGGACTACATCGACGCCTAGTTTAAAAATAGGAAGTGAAGTGGTAGAGCACGTTGACCGCTTCACTTATTTGGGAAGTACCATCAGCCCACCAACGGGCTGATCTCTGACGAAATCTCAGCACGAATACAAGGGGCTCGTTTCGCATTTGTTAGTTTACGCCGACTCTGGCGTAGACGAGATGTTCGACTATCGACCAAAGGGCGGGTGTACTGCTCATCAGTCCGCTCCGTCCTCCTTTATGGTTGTGAGACCTGGCCACTCAGAGTGGAAGACATGAAAAGGCGAGCTGTCTTTGATCATAGGCGCCTGCGCTCTATTTCCCGTGTAAAGTGGCATAATAAGGTGAGCAACATGGAGGTTAGGCGTAGAGTTCTAGGTAAACAGGGGAAATCAATCGACGAAGTCGTGAAGCTATAAAGACTGAGATGGTTAGGACATGTGTTACGTATGTCAAGTCATCGCCTCCCTCGACGAGCTATGTTAGCGTATATAGGGTCAGGCTGGAAAAAAGCTAGCGGCGGTCAAACAAAAACTTGGCATCAGTCAATGAAATCCACAACCGTTGGTCTTAGCCACGTAGGAAGGTGTAGACTTCCAGGCTGGGGTCCTCGGGACGGCAAAAATCTATGGTTGGAAACAATTGGTGACATGGCTCAAAATCGTTCTCAGTGGCGCAGATGCATCCACTCCCTGTGACTTATGATCTTCAATGAAACTGTTTTGTATTTCTTTATTACTCCTTTGTCTCACACCTCTGCTCACTGTTTCTATTATGCTTTTCTTGTACTTTCTTCTCTTGCTTCGCGTGCTACACGGAATGTGGCGACTTGAACTTCCGCACATTTGTGCAAAGTTCTATGTCGAAAACAGACAGACAGACAGACAGCAGCCGGCGTCATAAAATAAGCGTATTTTTTAATTATACATTCATATATATATCATGTTGGACACTACTCACCATGATTGCATTGAAGTGACGATGTGGTTAGCCATTGTAACTCTTCGCTGTGTTGGTAGCTCACTGGTCTGGCAATTTAGAGTCTGTAAACCCAAATTTTCACTTCATTTCTAACCATCACTCACTACATAAGGGAGATAAGTGAATGCATATAAGTTGGTCGTCAAGTGACAGCCAACGCATTTACCTAGTTCTGTCTGTGCTAAAAAAAATCTGCTGACCAGATTAGCGAGATGGTCACTCAACTGTGTAGGACGACAAGATTGTGTACGCTAGAAACCCTATCAGCTGATAGCACTTGGTGATATCTATGCATCTGTATTCTCTGGTAAAATTTATGGCAACCATATGAGGGGACTGATGTGAAGAACCTAGAAGACCTGGATTTCGCGTGTGGATGATTTATGTTTGATGTCACTGTCACAAAATCGAAGACTTACAAGCGAAAACCGACCGACAAACTGGTCGAAGATGCAGCCGGTGAAGACAGGACTCCATGTGATGAACATAGACAAGACGGAGGTTATGAAAATAACCAACCAACCAGCCAACAACACCAAGAGCAGCAACATCCAGTGCCAATCACCATCAACATGAGGGATTTGAAAGAGGTTACTTCATTCACTTACCTAGCATTGAGTATTGTCTCAACTACAGGCCACAGGAACGGACGAGGATGTCAAATTGAGCGAGAATCGGGAAGGCAGGCGAGAAACACATTCACTCATCAACCTGAAACCAATCTGGAAATCTTCGTCACTCAGCCAGCCAGCATCAACAGCAAAATTCTGTCGGATTTTCAATACAAACGTCAAGTCAGTCAGTTATTCTATACGGGTCGGATCAGAAACTTGGAGGGTGGTCGGGTCACAAAGAATATTTCCAACAGCCTGTTGCAGACCTACCTTTATCAACCAACAATTGTCTTCGCTGGCTCTATACTGAAGATCAGATGTCCGGGCCGGAAAGAATCACCAACAAGAAACTATGGGAACAAACAAAACAAGAAGGGTAAGGGTGACATGGAGGAGATGGTGTGAAGAGGAGTTGAAAGAGTATGGACTAACATGGATGCATGTGAGAAGTGCAGCAGAAGACAGAAGCAAGTGGAGATGTGCAGTTGAAGCCATATGTTCAACTAGGAACCCAAGGGAACAATAATAATAATAATATAATATGAGGGGTCCGGGTTTCATTCACGGATGATGCACACTTAAACCTCTCCTAGCCGGTGGTAATAAGTCTAGAGAAGAGGAATAGTCTGGTGTTACCTTGCAAAAATAACACCACTTCTAATGAAACTTTAAAGGTTGAAGTCCTATTTTCCACGCAGAACGCAAATGAATTTTGTTGTTAAAAATAAAACAAAATGTAGTAAATATAAAATGATTGAATGGCGGGAGGGATAAATTAACCAATGCACAAGTTACCTTTAAGTTCATATTTGCCAACTCTGAACGTGTAGCCTCTAAATCTTTCAATATTTTCTCTTTATCAGTTTGCAGTTGTCTATTTACCTCCTCTAATTCACTGATTCGATTCTCTAACAAGAAAACGGAGAGTAGAATGAAAAATACATCACCCAAAATAAGCAATACATTTAAAGTTATACCCTTAAAATATTTTATCTCTTTGTATTATACAGCCCCTCATCAGCAAGGCGTCATCTGAAACCCTGAAGGAACTCATGTCCCTTCCGAGATTCGAACCCAAGTCATCAAGTGCCGCCTGCAGTCAGAGACGTTACCACTGACCTATTCGGGCTCACGATTGACCTCCTGTAGGACTGTAGTGGGTAATTCAACTAATAATGATTGGTAACCGACACTGGATCATCAAATTTCCTACAATAATGTACAGCTTATTAACAGGTATGTTAATGGGCACTCATAGTTGTCGAATAACGCTCTCTTTCATTTGTTGAAATGAGTCACTCATAGATTCCAAGCAACTTGTTGTAGGGTGCGCAACAGGTCGGGTGTGAGGACAAATACTCGACACCGAAGACATTGGCTAGCGGTCACACTATGTCGTGAATTAGCAGAAGCTAGAATTTAAGGACCATTGGATCGGGTCCCAGTGGCTTAATGGTATACGAGCTTGCTAGCTCTGTAACCAGAAGGTCCCGGGTTCGAATCCCGTGGGTGCATACTGTTGAAGAGTCCCAAACTAGGACGAAACAGCTGTCCAGTACTCTCTGCAGGTTTTCCAATGGTTCTCTAACTAATGTCAGCTCATGATGAAATCCTGAAACCAATCAAATCCCTACAAACTAACACTTGAATTACTTGATTTCTTCTCCACGTACACTTACAAAATAAAAACACCATGGCAGTAAATAGAATATGTTGACCTGTTGTGCAAGGCGGTATTCTCAGTCACAAGCGGGGGTTGTCTTCCTCTTCTTTTCTTTTGAGCAAAAAGCAACACTATTTTTTAACTGGAAGCGCTTCTTTGTTACCCTGTCTACTGAACTCAGGGTAAACTTACCGTATTCTTCTATAGGTGATTTCATTAAATATTCTGATAACCTGCTAATTTCTTGCACAATTGTTCCTCTAGTTGATTCTTTTCACATGAATCGTTTCCTATTTGAGATTAACCAATTTTTTTTAATCCTTTACTCTCAGGCAAAACAACTACCCAAGGAACTTCATCAACAACAAAGTCAACACAGACAATAAGTATGGCCGAAAACGCATTCCGAAAACATGGACATCAACAGCCCTCATTCCATATAGAGCAAAGACGTCAGACGATATCAGAAGAGTATTCAATCAGCTCAACATTAGAGTTTTCTTCAGAACATCAGACACATACACACACTACAAACCAACCTTGTCCATATAAAATACCAAATCCCTAAAGATTCCCCATCTAATTGTATCTGTAAAATAAAATGCTTGCTTGGGATGTGATGCGATACACATTGGACAAACATCGCCAGAGAAAATTGGAAATCAAAAGAAATGAACATCGTAGAGCCGCATCTGTTCGACCATCCAGAAATGGAGTTGAACTAGAAAAACTTGAAAAATCATCAGCCATAGGTCGTCTACACGCTACACTAGAGAATCAGGCCACAAAATTGATTTTAACAATATTGAAATCATCATCCAGAAAAAGCACTTCAGAAACCACAAAGAACGTCTAACATCATCAGAAGCACTTCATATCCAGTGGAATCCAAATTACCTGAATCGGAATGATGGACTAAAACAGAATCCGACCTGGCTACAACACCCCCCTCCCCATGAAGTGGCAAAATCAACACAAATGTGATAAGCAAGTTCACTATGTAAACACACTACACACAGACAAAATCCAATAATCTACACTTGATTTTATTATCTTTACCAATTCACCAACTTGACAACAAAAAACGACGCCATACTGACAACCGATGATCAAGTTAGTAAACTTTGTTTTGATGTAATAACAGATATACTATTATCTTTGATATTTGGTTTGAGTGATCTACATTATTAATTTGACTTTCAATATGTCCTTTTAAGTTGAAGTAAGTCTATTTTTCTCACCCCTTAATTCTTTGTTATACATATGCTGAGATTTTGTAAATTCCGGTTTAATAATACCACTTTGATAAAGCTATTAGCAGCAGCATTAAATAGCGAAGCGTCAGTAAAAACAACGACAATATCGTTTTGTTTTTCATTCATTCATTGGGAAATAGGCGAAAACCTGTATTATAATGAATATCATATATCCAATGCCCAAATTCTTTCAAACCGTTAAAAGTGAACTTGGTTTGGACATATATAACTTTACGTCCTCAGTCAATCGGTTGGACAGTTATGCTTAGCAAGCCTTTTATCGCTAGTCTGGTCACCATTACCACACTGCTGCATCCCAGAGAAAACTCATAAACTCCACCAATAAACTCTCAAACCTTTTCTTTCTTTTTCTGTTGCTTCCCTTCCCTTTGGAATATAGGACTTCAACCCGTTGGTATTGCCCTTATCTCACGGAATTGCTAGCCTCACGCCTAACATTCCCCGCCTTCTGGATGTACTACCAAGTGGACGAGGTTCATGAGTGAGTCGGGTAGAAGTCGGACTCTAATCGCGTGTGTGTGTGCGTGTAGCTGGCGTACATTAAAGCATGGCAGTACCGATGTGAAAATCGAAACTTATCAGTACCCAAATTACCAGAATTGTGAAAACAACAAGATGACAAAAAATGTTCGATTGTATGGAGGATTTCACCATCAGCTGACATCAGTTAGAGAACCACTGGAAAACCAGCACTGAGAGTACTGAACAGCTGTTTCGTCCTAGTTTGGGACTCTTCATCAGCATGCACTCACCGAGGTTCGAACCCAGGGCAATCTGGTTACAAGGCGAGCTAGCTCGTAGACCATTGAGCCACTGGGACCCGATCCAATGGTTCTTGAATTGTAACTTCTGCCACTTCACGACATAGCGCGACCAATTCGCAATGTCTTCTTCGATGAGTTACTGCCTTATCTTCGATCTGCTGTACCCTACTGGTCACGGCTTCCCATTAGGACCCCAGGTCAACTGCCTGAATAGGGCCAATCCTGGGTTCGAACCCCGGTGGGTGCGTGCTGCTGAAGAACTCCAAACTAGGACGAAACAGCTGTCCAGTACTCCCAGTTTGTTTTCCAGTGGTTCTCTGACTGATGTCAGCTCATGGTGAAATCCTCCATACAATCAAACAAAATTCCTAAAAAACCAATACTTGAAAAAAAAAGAAGCGTTCACCTTGTTTCAGTCTAGAATTCCTAGACAGCATAGTACAGATTTGTTGACCACGTAATTTCAACTCCTTGTTCAATTGTTCCACTTCAATGCGTAATGAAAGATTTTCACTAGTAAGACGTTTTGCAGTCTTTGAATCTTCTGTTCCAGTTGTGGTATCCTATAATCAAAACACAAAAAGACAAACATTTTTAAAAGATAAAACGTTTCTAAAATTAATCAACGCTTATCGACTGTGACGCTACATTCACTCAGTTATATAAAACTATTATTTCTGTGGAATTTCTTACCAAAAAGTTGTGGAACTTATTGTAATTAATTGCCTTTCGAACACTGAATCTGTGGATATAATCTTGTTGACCGATAATACCTATAACTATCTGCTTGCCATTTTGTGACTGTCTAACACTAATTAATACCTATAACTGTATATATTGATGGATTTACATGTTTAAGTCGGCTCAAGTCAGTGAGTCTATGATTTTAGCATCATTTTTGTAAACTGTATCTGACTGTAATACTAGTGCTAAGGTTATTATTTTATTGTTATTGTCGCTGTCCTTCCTGTTGTGAATTATTTTCCTTTTACTGGTGTAGTCCTGATTGCTTTATTCCTTGTTTTCTTGATTTTAGGAGGAGCAACCCACAAGGTAGCTCCTCTGTAAACTATATTTTAATGTAACATTGCCCTTCTCAGGCGTCAGACTAGCAACCCCACCCTGTAAACAAAGTTGCCGCAGAAACTTCACCACGATGAATCTCCTTGCGCCAAAAGAAAAAGTCTGTGTGGGGACATGGAACGTCCAAACTATGTACGAGACAGGGAAAGCTGCCCAGATCGCAAACAAGAGGAAAAGATACGGAATCCAAGTGCTAGGAATATGTGAAAGTAGATGGAACGAGAATAGACTCACCAAATTGTCAACGGGTGAGTCAGTGATCTACTCCGGTCACCCAGAAGATAACCACACGCACACCGAGAGTATGGCTGTCATGATGTCACCAACACCGACGAAGGCCTTAATGCAATAGGAGGCGATCTAGCCCAGAATTTTTAAAAGGGTATAAGGCAATAAGGAAAACTAACTATTTTGATGTAGTTCTGTTCTTTGAGCTTTCATCGCCCTACTAGCGACATCTTCACCGCATACTTCAATTCATTGAAGTGAGCTTTTAGATTTCTCCACGAGTTCACTATTAGTCATCTCTCCTGGTGGGTGACCTTCAACGTCGTGATTGGTTGTGTGTTTTGTGTGTTTTCACACCTTCTAGGCAGCTACTTGTATTGGAACTGATTGTTTCCTTGACTTGAACTTTGACCCTATGTGTGTGGGGTTTCTTTCTTATCGCTTGATAAATTTTGGTCTATGTCAGTGTGTCTATTAACTGGCGATTCACTGGAATGCTAAGCTTCTAAAAATTCTGTGGCATTCTTGGTGTTTCCTCTGTCTAATATTTGAACGTTGGTTGTTGCAGTCGAATTGATGTCCGTGGTTGTCTGTATGTAGTGATATGAATGAGGGAGTGGATGTCATGTCTTTTGACGGTTAGCTTATGTTCGTGATACGAAGACGAAGGGACGTCCACTTTGGCCAATGTAGTGTTTTTCTCAGTTGTTACAATTTATTTTGTCTATTCAATTTGTATACTCTTCCTTATTAAGTCAATTGTTACTATTATTACTATTCTCACTTTGAACTGTCCCCGGTATTATTTCACTTGTTCCACTTGTCATTCTAAATCAATTCCTTTTTTTACAACGATAAATTCTATGCTATTAAATTTCACACAATATTACGTAACGTTTTTGTTTTATTCGATTTGTCTACTAATCCTATAATTGCACATCCTTTTTCAAGTTCTATCCCTCCTATAAATTATTCTATATAGGACATTAATCTGCTTTGCCACTTGACATTTAACTACGATTATAATCACAAACATTTTAGTTTTAATTGAACTTCATATGATTATTATTATTACTTTATGCATTCACACCTAAGATTCAATTCCCTCACCGATATAACATCTTAAGAACCATTTAAATACGACTGTACAGCTTGATGATAAATTCGTTGAAAAGAGTCTCTTCGCTGAATCACTTGTTTTGATTTTCCAAACAATTTATTTTGTAGATGATGTTGGTTTTATCTTCTTCGCGTTGTTCAGTCTTTTGGTTGACATAGAGCCAGCTGAGTGGAGTGATTCTGTTGATTTGTGTACGACATCAATTCCTAAAGGTTTGAAGAGTCTTTCAGTGACTTCTGAGATGTCCTTTATATATGGTATGATGATTTTCTTTGTGTTTTCCTTGGGGTCTTTGGTTTAATAGGTTGGCTTGTGTTCCAGTGAGACATCAATCAATAGACACATCGAGATAGACAAAATTTATCAACCGATAAGAAGGCTATCTCATACACAAAGCGTCAAAGTTCAAGTCAAAGAAACAATCAGTTCCAATACAAGTAAAGGCCTAGAAGGTGTGAAAACACACAACCAATCACGTCCAAAGTCACCAGGAGAGATGATTAATAAACTCGTGGAGCAATCCACGAGCTCACTTAGACGAACTGAAGTATTCGCTGAAGATGTTGCCTAGTAGTGGGCGATGAAAGCTTCGCAAATTAACAATCCAGCTCAGAGAACACAACTACATCCATCATATTTACAGCTAACCGTGGATTGCATACTCTGACCACTTGACGTCACAGCTGTATGACATCATCATTTTGAAAAGAAAAGTACATTCGACCAAATACATGTGCGGTACAAACGTTTGGATCGATAGCGAATATTTTAAACCGTTTATAAACGTTAATATGTAGACAAAATGGCGTAGAATTTTGTGCCTTTATGAAATACGATGTGTTAACATTAAGGTTTCAATATCAGCAAAGCTAATCCGTTTCAAGTTAGATAACTAATTGACTTGAGTTAGAGGACCATTAAAATCCAGGAACTAATAAATAGCTGTTTTGTCCCACTTTCGAACTCTTCAGCAACAGATACCACTGAATAGACTAAATATACAACTTACGACCTTCAGATTACAAGACCACAGAGAAGGAATCCAATAGCGCCCATCAGTTCTAACTTATTCCAGTTCGCGAAATATAGCCCAACCGTCAATCTTCCTTATCCACGGGCAACTATCCCCTTATACAACTTGAATCTTCATAAACGCCTATGCAAAGCTCTGAGGAAGACATACTTCATCGCGAGCCTACGACTAACGTCTTCCTGTAAGAAACTGTTCAGCCAGAACGCGTAAAAAACACGCTTCAACGTGCATATACCAGTTTACTTGGTCTTGCAGAGCTGAGTACATCAGCCATAGCATGCACCAACTTGATAAACGCGCTCGTGAACACTATCCAACCTGGCTAGTAAAAGGAGAACGAAAATGTGTATATAGTTCAATGACAGAACATCTGGTCAATGCAGGACATTCAGCACTATTCGAAAAATCATTCAAAATAGTATGCAAGATTCCATCAAACCTATCAAAAAGAGTAAAATCAAGACATCCGGGCACGAGCGAGGCACTCACCGTCCAAAAGCCCGAACCCACGCTATGTATCCAAAAGAAATACGTCCACCCCTTATCCCTGCCATGGCCATTATAAACAGGTAATTCTTTTAATAGTGACTATCCCATTGCCTTTCTTATCCAAACTTGCTTTTTATTCATGTTATTTTTAAGTTTTCTTAACCCCTATTTACACTAATATATTTTTATATCCGAACTTCCCGCCTATTTTGTCATTTTGTTATTTCTACACTTCTAATTCCTAATTGCACAATATGCCAACCTTATCAGTAATTATGATGCTACTCTGTTTGAGTTTTATCCGTTCCTTCCCCTGTTTATTATGGCATTTTAATTCCTAATTGTAATTTTATCAACTTGACGGTTGACCGGAAATTATTCTGGAACTTTCCCACGCATTTATCACAAATACACGAATGTACAGCACCTAGTTGATGCTGACTTCATCGAAAAAAAAATTTTCTTCGCTGCAATTGTCTTATTTTTAATAACGATATGAACCAATAAAAACCAGTGAATTGTCAGAAGTTAAGATTGAAGGAATTAGACCTCGTCCATTGGTTGAATTGTCAATGCAGTAACCTTTTAACTGTAAGATCTTAGTTCTAACCTCGGTGACTGAGTACTTCTGAATAGTCTCAGTCTACGAAGAAACAGATGTCCAGTAATCTCTGGCTTTCTAATGGTTCTCTAACAGATCTCAGCTCTTCATCAAATCTGTAACTTAGATTCCCTTATTATTATTATTATCATTATATCCTTTAATTCCTAGAGGAACAAACGGCTTCAGCTGCACGTCTCCACTGCCTTCGGTTTTCTGCCAACTTTTTCACCCCGCTCCAAGTCTGCCCACATGCTTTCATCTCCTCTTCACATGACCTCCTACAAGTCACCCTCACACTGACGACCAACTCGCCGCTTCCCTTTCGGGTTCCACTCGAGCGACGGCTTGTCTAGTGATGTCACTCGATGGTTTGCTTTCTCAGAGTATGGCCAGCCAATCCACCTCCATTTCTTCCTGCCTATTTGTTTCACAATCGATTCCTGGTTGGTTCGTTCACTGCCAGTGATCCCTGTTGTTGATCTTTTCTGGCCGGCCATCTGATCTTGAGTAGTATTGAGCGAAGACAACTGTCAATGAAGGTCTGTAGTTTCTTTGAGGTGCTCTTTATGGTGTGCCAAGTCTCTGATCCATGTAGTAAGTAGCACTGACCTCACATTGGAGTTGAAGAAAATCCGGATCTTATTTTTGATGCTGAGTGCTGTTGACCTCCACATAGACTTGAGAGTAATGAAAGCTTGTCTTGCTTTTCCGATTCTGGCTTGATATCCTCGTCAGTTCCGCTGGCCTGTAGTTGAAACGATGCTTCCCACGTGGGTAGGTAAAGGAGGTTGTTTCTTTCAGATTTCTCCAATTTATGCTGGATGATTGTTGTCTGTTGTTGTTGTTCCTGTTGGTGTTGGCCAGTAATCTTCATCACCTACCTCTGTTTTCTCTATGTTCACCTGAAGTGAAGTCCTGTCTTTGATGCTTCTTCCACTGCCAACTTGTTGCTTTTCACTTGCATATCTTCTAGTTTGTGGAAAATCAGACATATATCATCAGCGAAGTCCAGATCCCCCAAGTTTTTTGTGTGAGTCCATTTTATGCCTGTTTCCTCACTGCCCGTTGTCTGTCGCATTATCCAATCTACTGCAATCAGGAAGATCATTGGCAATAGTAGACAGCCTTGCCTACTCCCATCCTCACTTCGACCCCTTACTTAGATTCCTTTGGCAGATAGTAAATCGAATCAAATCATGAACCCATTCTAAATAAACCAGTAAAAAAGTTGAAAACGACAGTCCCTTCCTAATTTATTACCGTCCAGTACTGCACATCAACAACCGTCAAGTATCGATGTTAATCTCCTTGTATTACCGAAGAGTTTCCAAACTGAATGCCCAGTGCATCTAGACTTTCAGTATTTCCTTTGTTTAGTGTCATCATATATAGTGTCACTAAATTCCCTATCCAAAATTCAACGGAATATGTACAAATCCAACTGCTTCATATGGATAAAACAATCCCTCCACCCCCCCCCCCAAAAAAAGGTGTAAATGAATACAATTTTGTTGGGCAATTGAACTAACCTTCTTTAAATTTTTAATGTGTGCGTAAAGCTTTTCATTTTCACGTTGATAACCAGAGATTAACAATTCTTGCTTTTCATATTCTTTTTTTAATTCTTCAAAATTTGTAAAATCACGCACACATTTATTGTTTTGATTTTGATTTTTATGTAAATCTGCATTGTCTGATTACTATTATCATTATTATGTGTAGCAATTAATTCTTTCATCTCTCCTATTTTCGATTCTGTCGACTTCTCACCATCATCACAATGATGAATTCTAGGCATAGCATGAGATTGTTCCTGTGAAATCAAAAAGAGAAAACGTTTACAGTGTGAAATGAAACAGCATATGAATGGGCTGATAAATTATTTACAACTAAATGAATTCAATCATTGTTAAGCAAGATGGGATTATAAGGGAAAGGCGGGTGTTCATGAAAATTAATCTGATGCTCACTGGAGACTGGCCCAAGTCAAGCAGTTAACCTGGGATTCTAGTGGGAAGCCATAACCAGTAGGTTACAGCAAATCGAAGTAAGAGGACAGTTATACATCGTAGAAGACATTGTGCAGTGGTTGCGCTATGTCATGAATTGGCTGATAGAAGTTAGAATTCATGGGTTGGCCATTGAATCGGGTCGGACCCCAGTGGCTCAATGGTCTACGAGCTAGCTCGCCTAGTACCCACAAGATCCTGGGTTCGATCCACTGGCGGTGGGTGGGTACTGCTGAAGAGTCTCAAACTAGGCTGACGAAACAGCTGGCTGTCCAGTACTCCTGTGGTGAGAGCAGCCTGCTAGGCGATTGGTTGACATTAATCTACATCAATGTCTAGGTCACTAATATGGGCCGTGAGAAAATATGAACAAGGCCGTTCCAACAACTAATCACAGCAAACTTAAACGTGGGCAAATATGATTCGCAGATAGATGGCTCCACTTTCCGAGGAACTCGAAAACAACCAATCACAAAACTGCGTTTGTCTACTTGACTAGGCTATAATAATTTATGTGAAATTTATATAAATACGTGTTGATTTCCGTAATAAAACCATCTGTTGCCTGGCACTTGTCTTCTGTTGTTACACAAAAAGCAATACTTTTCGGCGATGCCATTCTTAAAGGCAGCTGTACAATCACATTTATATACATTAGTTTACATGGATACAATTATTATTATTATTTTCCTGCACGTTCCAGTGGAACATAGGGCTCCAAGCTAGATGCTTGAAATTTCTGTAGCAGCGGTGATTATTTTTACAGGATGGGGTTGCTAGCCTCATGCCAAACCTTTCCTCTTCACCAGTCTCACTACTGGCTTAGCGAGGTAAAGGAGTGCACCGGCCGGGGATCGAACCCGAACCATGTGCATGGTCGGCGAACGTCCTAACCGCTATGCCACCGACGCACATGGATACAATTATTGTTTATTTATTTAATTCCACATAGTAACGAAGGAGATAATAATTTTCAACTTGACATGAAAGTTTGAAGGTACGAGTATAGATTACAAGAGGCTTAGAGACAAGATTACACATAGGATTAAAAAACAGTTACAACGTATGCACAATTAATATGTGATACCTGAAGAAATAATTTTAAAGGCGAATAAAATGGGGACAATTATTTTCCACTTGATACGAGTTACAAGAGGCTTAGAAACAAAAGTTACACAGGGATAGAACAAATTACAGGCGTGAACAAAATGAACATGGAAACAAAGTGAAATCAAATATTTCAACTTGAAATGTAAATTCGGAGGTGTGAATATAGATAGATTACAAGAGGCATAGAAACAAAAAATTACACAGAATTAGAATATAACTGTAAAATGGTTATTCTAAACGGATTACAAATGTGAGCAGGAGGAGCATGGAAACAAACTTAAAATGGCGGATTTTATAACTGGAAAAAATGGAATGAATTGAATGAAGACAAAGAGAGAAAATTGCACACAGAGAGAATAGAACAAAATAACTGAAGGATAAGGGAACATACATAACTAGGTCCATGGTAGTTGTAAAGGCCGGACTAGTTTCTTTTTAAAACATAGCTCCAGCTTTTCGATGCATATGGCGAGAGCTTTCGCAGTACAAAAGAGTCGAAAACATACTGCCTTTAGTAGATTTTTGTTTACTTTGTAAATGACTCTGAATGATGAGTCAGTTGAGATTCTGTGAGAGGTATTGACGAGTTGTTCAGTTATGGCGCTTTTGACTGAAACCAGCGCCTCCTCTTTGCAGCCATGTTGGATGATGTACCTAGCTCCACAAGAGCAGGTGAACTGATATATGCATTGAAATGGACATATGTGAAAGTCTATCCTTCTCCTTGCTCCGAAGTAGTGGGCGGCTAGAGAATAGTGATATACGATGCATCTAGTTCGATATGTTCCCTTATCCTTCAGTTATTTTGTTCTGTTCTCTCTGTGTGTAATTTTCTCTCTTTGTCTTCATTCAATTCATCCCATTTTTTCCAGTTATAAAATCCGCCATTTTAAGTTTGTTTCCATGATCCTCCTGATTACACTTGTAATCCGTTTAGAATAACCATTTTACAGTTATATTCTAATTCTGTGTAATTTTTTATTTCTATGCCTCTTATAATCTATATTATAGTAGCAGAATTTTCCAGATGTCCGTCGAGGACAGGTGTTGAATCATTCCTATTACACGTGTTTCTAGTTGATTCGATTCGACTTTAATCCTGCTCCCTACATCCAGTTACATTAGATTTTAAGACTGTCATCTTACCTTATTGATATGTATGCACATATGTATATTTATGTGTGTGTGCATGTTGGTCTCTCTTTCTATTTGCTCGCTTAGCCTGTGACCATTTCACTTGTATGAACTTGTCTCCTTTAATAATGTGTATTCTCCTTATATTATATATAATATGAGTGTTTGTTGACAGTCCGTTGCTTGGTGACATATATCCATATATGTTGGTTGTTGACATGTCTGTTATATTTCGCTATGTATATATGGATCGATACTTCATTATAATTAGCCATTCATGTTAAGACTGTCTAGTGATTTGTTCACACCCTTTGTCTGGACATTCATATATATTTCGCATTCACAATCTTGTGTGACTTACACTTACACTTACCACTTTGGTGTGTACCACTTATTGCTTCTCCTTGTGTTTGGAAAATAGAAGTATCATCGCAAACCTAGTGGTCTTCTGATTTCCGCCTTCTTGCGTCAGGACTATTAAATTCTCGACCAGTCCATAACAATAATTTTGTCGACGAGTACATAACACTTATCTATCCTATTGCATGTGGTAGGTGTTATAGGTGTACTATTCTCTACATTTCTTATCTTATTCAGGTCAACCAGTCTAGATTTTGTTAGGTTTTTATGCTCAGCTAGTCTGACTGGCTGCCTTGTTCTACTAATTTCACCTTATTTGATCTGATAATCATTGCAGGCAAGGGATTAGATAAACCAAACTGTGTTGTTTAATTGGCTCCACAGGATGCTTTAAATAACAGTGCTTGAGATATGTACTCCTGTAATTTCGAGTACAAACTACCAATACCTTAGAAATAGAACTAAACACCTGACGTCTTCAATTATTCAGTTGTGTTCTTGGATCTCGAAATGTACTTCTAGTTTATAGAAAATCAACTCACGTAGAGCAAATCCCGAATTACAACAGCAACAATCCAATAACACACAAAACAAATTGCATACAAACACTATTCAAGGGGACCAGCCAGGACTCGTTGCAGCACTCACACCATAAGGAAAATTGAAGAAAGATATCTAATAGACGTCTTTCAAAGAAATGGATATCCACGGAATCTCATCAAAAGACATCTACCCTCAAGCCAGCCTATCAAACCGAAATCCCCCAAGGAAAACACAAAGAAAATCATCATACCATATATAAAGGATATTTCAGAAATCACTGAAAGACTCTTCAAACATTTAGGAATTGATGTCTCACACGAATCAACTAAATCACTCCATTCAGCTGGTTCGATGTCAACCAAAAGACTCAACAGCGAAAGAAGATAAAACCAACATCATCTACAAAATAAATTGTAACAACTTCGAAAAACACTACATTGGCCATAGTGGACGTCCCCTCGTCTTCGTATCCACGAACATAAGCTAACCGTCAAAAGATATGACATCCACTTCATCACTCATATCACTACATCTGGACAATCACGGACATCAATTCGCCTGGTACAACCAACTTTCAAATATCAGACAGAGGAAACATCAAGAATGCCACAGAATTTTTAGAAGCTTAGCATTCCAGTGAATCGCCAGTTAATAGACACACTGACATAGACCAAAATTTATCAAGCGACAAGAAAGAAACCCCACACACAAAGGGTCAAAGTTCAAGTCAAGGAAACAATCAGTTCCAATACAAGTAGCTGCCTAGAAGGTGTGAAAACACACAACCAATCACGACGTTGAAGGTCACCCATCAGGAGAGATGAATACTAGTGAACTCGTGGAGAAATCTAAAAGCTCACTTCAATGAATTGAAGTATACAATGAAGATGTCGCTTGGTAGGGCGATGAAAGCTTAGCAAATTAACTATCCAGCTCAGAGAATACAACCACATCAAATCATCCACGTGAGCTACAAATCATCTCTATCATATCTAAGAAATATCACAACAGGTTGGTTTGGGTTTCAGGTCGGACATCGTTGTATCATGAGATCTGCTGTCAGTTAACATTTTACTTGAACATCCTGCACGAGGAGGAGGAGCTATTATGAAATAACTTCCTCTGAAAATTCTGTACATTTTAAACAGTAATACTGCCCCGAATAAATCTATTATCATTATATAATAGTGTGAACTATGTAGATATATAATTACAAATCGTAAATATGTGAATTAAAAAACAAAACAATTCAAAAGTTGATGTGATCAGGGGCAGTAATTTTGCTCGAAATATTACCAAAAAACAAAAACTTATCACTGTGTGTAAACTATAGAAATATGAGATTTAATAATGTGAAATATTCCCATTTACATGAATTAAAGTCAATCTGAACGAACGAAGAATATTCTTTTCCATAATTTCTCCTCTTCAGGTTCTTACAATTATAAATTATATTTGTTGTCGTTACGTTAATGGCCAGTTAGTTATGCTGTTGATACATTTTTTAACGTAGAATAACAGATTAGTAGTTATGGGGTGTCAAAATAAATAGTCGTATTTGTGTGACAAACATCGTGTTAGGCTGAAATCGATTACAAAATATTGTAAAACGGGAGACAATGGTGGTGATTAGTCATAATAGATTTGTAGAGTGTGG